AGGAGGAGGGGTGGAGGAGGAGGAGGAGGAGGAGGACGAAAAACAATAGGAGAAGGACGAGGAGGGGGAGTAGGAGGAGTGGAAAGGGGAGGGGGAGGCGAAGGGGGAGGAAGATGAGGAGGAGAAGGGCGAGGATGAGGAAAACGGAGAGGTCGACGGACAGGAGGAGGAAGAGGAGGAAGATGAGGATGAAGGGGGTGATGATGCTGATGCTGATGATGATGGTGATGATGAGGAGGAGGAGGAGGTGGATGGGGAGGAGGAGGAAGAATCGGAGCAAGAAGAGGTTAACGACGATATTGATGAAGGTGAAGAGGAGGAGGATGAGGCGGAGGCGGAGGCGGAGGCGGAGGATGATGAGGAGGAATGGGAGGATGAGAAGGATGACGTGGATGAAGAGGAGGATGAGGATGAGGAAGCGGAGGCGGCCGGCTACTAATGTTATTCGTACTACGAATACTAACAGATATCCTCATTAATGCTATCAAGAAGAATCGTAGCCATACGCATCATAGCCAACACACGGTACGAACGATTAAGATTACTAGCGCGACGACCGATATTATGACTAACGCTACTAAGAACGATAATCATACTACCATTGGGCATTGTCACTATCACCATTACGACTAATACGACGCACACTAATACGACGACGAAGACTAAGACTACTGACGTTTCCAATAATTCCAGTAACCATAGCAACACTAATAACCATGTTACTGGTAATGCCAATGGTACAATGCGAAAAAGACGGGTCCTACGACTATCGGTGCGAATATTACTAATACTATTACGAATAACAAAATGGTACGACTACGACGCATACTACGTGTACGAAGAATACGACGCATACTACTATTACCATGATGTGGAAGAGGAAGGGGACGAGGACGCGGAGGAGGGGGAGGAAGAGGACGAATAGGAGGAGGAGGACGAGGGGGGGGGGAGGAGGAGGAGGAGAAGGAGGAGGAGGAGGAGGAGAAGGAGGAGGAGGAGGAAACGGAGGAGGAAGAGGAGCAAGGCCAGGACAAGGAATAACAGGAGGATGGCGAAGAGGAAGAGGAGGAACAGGAGGAGGAATCGGAGGAGGAGGAGGAGGAAGTGGAATAGGAAGACGACGAACACGACAACGAACCATACTAAGACGACGACTCAGCCGCATCAGAAGAAACATGCTACTGCTACTAACAATGCGAATGGTAAACGTAAGCATAATGAGAAACATACAGCTGATAATGACAATCATCGTACGACCAAGCAGGATATCACTAACACTGAGAAACGGTGATCACCATGACTAGGAATGGTATTACTAAAATGACAATTAGAACAATACGGTGACTTACGCTACTATAACAAAAGTTATACCACTACTATTGAGAACCATGCGGATCATAATAATACACGTGCTACTTGTACCAGCAAGCTTTCTATTAATAATGAGGACAATACTAATACTGATACTAATCAGAGAAATACGAGTAAACACTATACTAATACTCAGGACGACAATGATAATACGACGAATCCAAATCATAATCATCATACCACTGATCATACAACTATGAGGAGGATGAAGAGGAGGCGGGGGAGGGGGAGGAGGAGGACAAGGAGGAGGAGGACGACGATGACGGGGACGACGAAAACGCCGACATCGACGCCGAGGTCGCCGCCAGGACGACGACGACGACGACTGCGCCAACGACGACGCCGACGCCGACGCCGACGCCGACGACGACGACGACGACGACGACGACGACGACGGCGACGATGGCGACGGCGACGAGGTCCACTGCGCAGCCAAGATGATGAATGCGCCAACGACGGCGCAACAACCGACGACGAAATAAGAGACGATGACGATGCTGAGGGCGCCGCCGACGACGGCGACAGCGCCAGTTGCGGCGGCGGCGGGGTCGGCGGCGGCGTCGACGAGGGCGGCGTCGTCGTCGGCAGGAAAGCGCAGGGCGGCCCGCGCGCGCCCCGCGCGCCACACAGGAGGCGGACGCCCTAGCTAATGCTTCCGCCCCAGCGAGGCGCCTCGCCGCTGAGGCCGCGACGGGTTGTCGCCCCCGCCGCCGTCGTCGATGGCGCCGCCGCAGCCGACGCCGACGCTGATGACGACGACCGCGTCGTCGATGTGGCCGTCGTCGATGTGGCCGTCGTCGTCGTCGCCGCCGATGGCGCCGTCACCGTCGCCGTCGACGTCGCCCTCGAAAGATCGCCGGGGTGTTCCTTGGACTTTGTGTCGGTGCCTGAGGCTCCTCGGTGGCTCATGGATCTGCCGCCTGTGCCCATGGCGACGCCGCCGACGCCGACGCCGACGCCGCCGCCGCCGACGACGACAACGACGGCGACCACGACCACCACCCACCACCTCCACCCCCCACTGCCCACCAGCCACCACAACCACCACCCACCACCCACCACCCACCACCCACCACGAACCACCCACCACGCACCACCCACCACCCACCACCAGGACAACCTATGGTGTACAATAGATGTGGTGACACATCCATGCTCTTGCAAACACCCCACCCACCCACCCGCAACTTGATTTGCAAAGCCCACGTGGTGGCGATTGCGATGCATGCTTGGCGTTGGCTAGTGCATCTCTGCGGCCGCGCCAACCCTAGCACGCTCGCGCAGCGGCCAGGTAGTTTGGCGCCACCGCTGCGGCCGCGGTGGCGCTGACCGCTGGGTGCATCCCAGCGGGCACTTTATTGCGAGTCGGCGACTTGGGCGGGCGCGGTATCATGGCAACGCCGACAAAGGTAGTAGACACGATGATGATGGTAGCGATGCTGTTGAAGATGTTCGCACCGACGAAGGCGCGGCCAGTGCGGGCGCCGATGATGATCACGCCGGCGACGATAGCGGCGTCCTCGCGTCGGTGATGAAGGTTTTGGAAAGAGTTCGACATGCGCGCGCGCGGCCGACGCGCGAGAGTGGCCCGCATGGTTTAATTTGTCACGGGTCGTGCCCCCCCCCCCACGCACGCGCGCAAGGGTGTGCGAATGATGTCGGCCCGTTGGGCAGTAATTTTCGAACGTGTTAAAAATTGCAAGAGTGCGCGCACGCTTTTGAAGCATTTGTTTTTACTTGTATCTTGGACACTCGATTTTGAAATCCCTCCGAAGCCGAAACTCTTTGAAGGATTTCGGCACGCGCGCGCGACGACGCGCGCGTGTGCAGTTCGCCTTATCTTTTGCAACGGATTGTTGACGACTGAGTTTTTTTCCCCACATGCTTGGTGTTTGTGTGTTTTCTTCCCACCCACGTCGCACCCGCGTTCGCACACACCCGCCGCCCCTCCCCACCTTTCTCCCTCCCTACCCACGCGCAAATCATGCACGACGCGTGCATGAGACACGCGTATACATGGAGCCGCACGCATGCACACACTTGCACGCGCACACACATACATGAACTTGGCGCCGGAGTCATCCCATTGGGTGGAGGAAGTCGCTGCGTAGGGTATACAGTAGGGGGCCCATGCCAAGAAACATCCTGCTTGCCTCCAGGGTTCCCTTTTGTTGTTGTTGTTGCTGTTGTTGGTTTTGATGGTTTTGCTGTGGAATGCATGACGTTCCCACACCAAAAATCAAGGGACGTCCTGAGGTCTCAGGGTTGGGTTTCTTGTGCAAGGTTTATTGTGGTCGAGCCCCTAATGCACACGCTCCAGCATTCCATAACTTTGGAACATGGGGCGTTCAACAACCGAGCTACCTGGCCGACCACGAGGATGTGGTGTGTGCTTCGAGGCCCTCGTGCTGGCTTTCCTCTTCCGGCTTGTGCTGGTGCTTTCCACGCGTGGTGGTGCGGCATTGCCGCTCGCCGATCCGCCCCGCTCCGGTGGGTGGCTTGCACAGCACGGCTCCCGCTCGGATTCCTCTCGGGGCTGGGACGTGGAGATCGGCCTCTGGAGGCTCGCGGCGCCCTGCAACGGTTGTGATGCGGGGTCCGTCCGATGGAGTAGTGCCATGAGGTTTCGTGGCTTCGGGTGCGCGGACGGATGTCTTCATACGAGGGATCGTGGTCTCGGGAACGCCGGCCCATAGTTTGTTCGAGGAATCGCTGCAGCGGGAGTGCGTATTACTTGTTTCTTGTTCGGGATCGTAGCCTCGGGGGCACGGGTCCATTTTCTTCTGCTTTGCCCAGGATCGTGGCCTCTGGAGCGCAGATGCATTGTTTCTCCGTGAAAATGTGTTCAAGCGGTGGTCCTCAAAATCCTCATCGCGCGCTCGATACAATCATTACCCTCGCTGCTCTCAATTTGCTCTCACACTCCTTGCCCTAAGTAGAGCTGTGCTCTAATCATCGCCGTCACCTTCGTGCTTGTATCGGATACCCTGGTATTGACTTACTGATGCGTTAGTGCATGACTGGTACGTTAGGCGTGCCGATTGGATGTGGGAGCGTATTTGGCGTCTCTATTTTTTTCGTGCTCGCATGATCAGCAGATGTTTTGCGCGACTTTGGTGTGTCGATTGCCTCGCCGTTCGGTATACTTGACTTGCCTTGATGTGGTAGGAGCCGAAGCATGGCCACGAACGTGCATGGTCATCCTTTTCGCCTGCTCATGCAAATCCTCCGACTCATCCTTGTTTCATTAACCTCAGTGTTTTTCTCTCACCCTCATGATCATCATCCCGTCCTCGTGGGCCCCAGCATCATGGTCGTCATCATACGCCCTCATCCTCCTGGTGATCCTTCTTTTATGGTCACGCCGGCATTGTCCACGCATGTCTTTATCCTCGATCTAGTACCACTGACCTATACCACCCTGGTAAGCATCATCACTACAATCCTCTTCATCGTCGTCCTCGTCATCATGATCAGTCCCCGAGGCCAGGGAGTCCAGTGTGCGGGGAGGGGGCGGGGAGGACGGAATAAGGAGAAAGGAGATCAGGACAGAGAGGGCGGGCACAGTTGGCCGTCGACGTGGCCGTCGTCGTCGCCGTCGACGTGGCCGTCGACGTGGCTGTCAGCGTGGCCGTCGTTGCCGTCGTCGTCGTCGTCGTCGTCGTCGTCGTCGTCGTCGTCGTCGTCGTGGCCGTCGCCAGAGCCGTCGTGGCCGTCGACGTGGCTGTCGTGGTCGTCAACGTTGCCGTCGCTGTGGCCGTCGTGGCCGTCGCCAGAGCCGTCGTGGTCGTCAGCGTGGTCGTCGTCGTGGCCGTCGTGGCCGTCGTCGTGGCCGCCGTCGTGGTCGTCAACGCGGTCTTCGTCGTGTCCGTCGTGGCCGTCGACGCTGCCGTGGTGGCTGCCGCGGTGACCGAAGCCCAGGCCGGCCTGGCCGAGCCGACCCACGCCAGCCACGAGGCCAGGCGGGGGTGGCAGGAGGAGTTTCGGCGACGAGCGAGGGGGAGGACTTCGAGGAGAAGGAGGAGGAGGAGGAGGAGGAGGAGGAGGAGGAGGAGGAGGAGGAGGAGGAGGAGGCGTAGGAGGAGGAGGAGGAGGAGGATTGGAGGGAGGAGGAGGAGGAGAAAATAGTATGGGGGGGAGAGGGAGAGGAGGAAGAGGAGCACCGTAGCACCGTTGGGTATCGGGTCGTGCCTGAAAAGAGGGGTACCGTGAGGGGCACACGGGGTGCACTGGGTTGCCAGGTTGGCTGGTGGCGGCGCGGCGCGATCAGGGGCAATGTTTTCGACAGTTTGCGGCAGTCTAGGTCCTCCTAGATGGGGTCGAAGTAGATGGGGTCGGAGGATCGCGCCGCATCGCCGACGCATCGGCGATGCATCGGCGATGCGGCTCGATGTGGGGCCCAATTTTCTCCACGCTGACGTCGCCGATGCACCGCCGACGTCGCCAGTGCATCGCCGATGCATCGGCGACGCATCGCCGATGTATCGGGGATGCGGCGAGATCCTGCGACCCCATCTATTCGGACCCCATCTAGGAGGCCTCTAGGCAGGTGTCGAAAGTTTCCCGAGAGCTTTCGAGGCCTGGGGTGGCTTCTGGCAGCTGCGCCTCGTCGAGGGCGTTCCGGGGGTGCCAGGATCGTTCCGAACGGCCGCTGGAGAGCCGAGATGTAACCCGAAAGTCAGGGGGCACCGTTAGAGTGGAATGGGCTCAGGGGGATGCGTCGACCCCAACCGCCAACTGATCGCCGATGGGCCGATGGGGGCCCGATAGTCCACCCCGCCCAGGAATGTCCAGATTCGCTACCGTGGGCCTACCGCCGATCCATTGGCGACGTATCGCGGATTCCAGGTCGATGCTGCCCCCCCCAGTTTTCCCACTGGGAAGGCTGGGGCGCTTAGCGTGGCGTTCTCAAGGCGGTTCTGCTGTTGGCAGGGTCACCGTTTCCTCTCCTCGCCGAGCGGTGGTCACACACACGCGCGGCGCGGTGCTCGCGGGCATCCTGTCGTGCGCGCAGGCGCCACGTCTGAGTCCTGCCACAGGACTGCGGTGCCAGGCATACGGGGGGGTGTACGTTATGCCCCTCCTCTCTCTCCCTTTCGTGGGCGAAAAGCATATCCGTATTCGCGGCCTCGCAGGCCAGGCCCCTGGGCCGCGACCCCGCGGATACGGGGTGTTTTTTCGCGGATGCCCCGCGAGGAACGTATCCGTGCGACCGCGCATCCGCGCGATCCGCAGATTACGCGCAAGGCCACGACCCTAACGCGCAAGGCCCTTCAAAAAGCTCCACAGGGCCAGAACATCGTTTTGTCCTGCGGAACTCTGTTTTTTTGGCCTTGCGCGTTGGAGTTTTGGCCTTGCGCGCGCTCCCGGCAGCGCCCAGGGGGCCCGACGCGCAAGAGCCCCAGCAAAAACCACAGGCGGGACCGCGGTGGGGCCGCGTGGATGTTTTTGGGAGCAGTCTTTGGCCGCTTGCGGGCCCTCTGGGGGCCGATGTGAGGCCGCTTTGGCGCCTAGGGGAAGTCCCCCCCCCCAAATCCGCAAAGGTCATTTTGATATCATATATACATAACATGTATGTATGTATGTATGCATGCATGCACGCATACATGCATGCATGTATGTATGCATGCATGCATGTATGCATGTATGTGTGTATGTATGTATGTATGTATGTATGTATGTATGTATGTATGTATGTATACGTATATGTATATGTATATGTATATGCATATGTATATGTATATGTATATGTATATGTATATGTATATGTATATGTATATGTATATGTATATGTATGTATGTCTGTATGTATGTATGTCTGTATGTATGTATGTATGCATGTATGCATGTTTGTATGCATGTATGTATGTATGTATGTATGCATACATGTATGCATGCATGTATGCATGTATGTATATATGTATGTATGTATGCATACATGCATGTATGCATGCACGTATGTATGTTTGTGTGTATGTGTGTGTATGTATGTATGTATGTATGTATGTATGTATGTATGCATGCATGCATGCATGTATGTATGTATGTATGTATGTATGTATGTATGTATGTATGTATGTATGTACGTGTGTATGTGTGTGTATGAATGTATGTATGTATGCGTGTAGGTATATACGTTTATCTGTTTACGTATGCGTACATGTATGTGTATTTGTATGTGTATGTGTATATGTATGTGTATGTATATATATATATATATGTACATGTGTATGCATATTTATATGTATTTGTATGTTTATATGTATATGTGTATGTTTAGATATATGCATATGTATATGTATGTGTATTTGTATATGGGTTCGTACATGCAGATGCACATGCATATGTACAGGTATATGTATATGTATATGCATATGTGTATGTATATGTACACGTGTATATATGTGTATGTATATGTATATATACATGTATATGTATAACTATATGTATACGTATACGTATATGTATTTGTATGTGTATGTGTATGTGCATGTGTATATGTATATGCATATGTACATATATATGTTTATGTAGATGTAGATGTAGATGTATATGTAGATGTATATGTAAATGTATGTGTGTCTATACACATGTATGTATGTATGTATGTATGTATGTATGTATGTATATATATATATATATGTATTTATATATAGATAAACAGATCTAGATGACTAGCTCCCCCCCTGGCCTGGGCCGGCCCAGCCCGCAACAATTCTAATACGCTCGCTGGTACCCCCCGTTTCGCTCTCCAGAGTCGGCCCGGAGTGGCCAAGAGGGTGCCAAAACGAGCCAAGAGGGTTCCAAGAGGCCCCCAAGACGGCGCAAGAAGGCCTCGAGTTGCCTAATACGCCCCAAAAAGGCTCCAAGACGCTCCAAGAAGGCTCCCAGAGCACTCCCAAGAGGGCCTCAAGAGGCCAAAACATCAATTTCCCATGGGGGAACTTACATTTTTAGCGTGTGCGTCTTTGCAGCTTTCACGGCTGTGAAGACGGTCCAAGAGTCTCCCAAGACTCCCCCAAGACGGCCCCGGAGGATCCCATGAGGCCCCCAAGGCGGACCAAGAGGGCGCCTAGGCGGCCCAAGAGGCGCCCAAAACGGCCCAACTTGGCCCCAAGACGGCGCCCAAGACGGCCCAAGAAGGCCCAGCGTCGCCCAAGAAGGTCCAAGATGGCCCCGAGACGGTCCCAGAAGGCTCCGAGATGTCCCAAGAGGCCTGCCAAAGCACTCCCAAGAGGGCTCCAAGATGCCAAAATCGTTAAATTCCTATTGGAATGCGTATATTTGTAGCATTTGCGACGCTTCGGCCATCACGGGTTTGAAAACGGCCCAAAAAGCTCAGAAGATTTGCCCAAGAGTGCCTAAAACAGTCCCAAGAGGCCCTCAAGACAGACCAAGAGGGGGCCAAGACAGCCCAAGGGCTGCACAAGACGGCCCAAGTCCGCCCCGAAACGGGCCCCAAGAAGGCCGAAGAAGGCCCCGAGTCGCCCAAGACGGCCCAAGATGGCCCCGAGACAGTCGAAGAAGGCTCCGAGACGTCCCAAGAGGCCTGCCAGAGCACTCCCAAGAGGGCCCCAAGAGGCCAAATTCATTAAATTCCGATAGGAAAATGTAAACTTTCAGCATCTGCGTTTTTGCAGCCTCCACGGCTCTGAAGACGGTCCAAGAGACTCCCAATAATCCCCCAAGACGGCCCCGGAGGATCCCATGAGGCCCCCAAGGCGGCTCAAGAGGACGCCTAGACGACCCAAGGCCCGACTAAGCCGGCTGCAGGAGGGGTCCAAGAGGGGAACTCCGACTCGAGGATTGTAGCCTTCCGCCCAAAGCACCTCCCAGGAGGCCCCAACAGGCCCCAAGAGGCCCCAAGAGGTCCCCAAGAGCCCCACGGGGGTCGAGGTGCGAGCGAGACCGAGGGGTATCCTGCAAGCGGGGCGGGCGAGAGACAGAGAGAAACAGAGACATTCCCACCCCGACGGCCTCCAAGAGGTTTCCCAAAGGAGTCCGGAAAGGTCGTCCTGCGGGTCGAGGTCCGAGCGAGACCGGGACTGCACCAGGACTTATCCTCTCACATTGCCACGCCGACTGCAAAAAGCCGAGCCTCACAGACTCATCCTTCCCGGCTCCATTACCCCCTCGTTTCCCTCTTCCTCCCTCCTCCCTCCTCCTCCTCCTCCTCCTCTTCCTCTTCGTCCCCCCCTCTCCCTCCTCCTCCTCCTCCTCCTCCAACTCCTCCTCCTCCTCCTCCTCTCCTCCTCCTCCCCCTCCCCCTCCTCTCCTCCTGCCCCCCCCTCCTCCCTCCTCACTCCTCCCTCCTCCTCCTCCCTTCTCCTCCTCTCTTGGGCGCCCCAGAGAGATTGGTCACAAAATAGAGGTCTTCAAGGTTCCACCATGACGCCTAGCTAGAAGCTAAGCGCGCGAAGCGCGCGCGTGGTTCTAGTGTGTGTGTATATATATATATGTACGTATATACATGTATATATATATATATATATAATAATATAAAATATTATAATAATGTTCATGCATATGTATGTATGTATGTATGTATGCATGTATGCATGTATGTATGTTTATATATATATATATGTATATATATAGATATATGTTGAGTAGGGCCCGGGGGCGGCCCGGGGGCGGCCCGGGGCGCTGCCAGTAATCTCCATGGGGGGTGCAGGGCGCCCCCGGGAGCGTCCGAAGCGTCCCGGAGGGCCCTTGGGACCGCCAGGAACAGTTCGAGACCGCCCAAGACGGCCCGCAAGCGCTCCAAGACGCGCATAGATAGCCTCAGGAATGGCCAGGAAGGCCCGAAGACGTTCCAAGAGAGCTCCATGAGGCCCCGAAGGCATCCCTAGAGGCCTCCCAAGAGAGCCCCGACAAGCCAAAATCGTTGATTTGTACTGTTTTTTTCCAGGTTTTTGGCCTTCTCGCTTTTTCGGGGTTTCGACGCTCCAAGACCG